GTTTGGAAGTCTACGAGCTTTGACAGGTAAATGAACTGGGTGATTGCACTGTAATGAACTGGATATTGCTTTTTCTCTTCATTCATATTACAAGTTAAATATTCATCTCAGTTTTGTTTTCTGTTTTTTTTTTGTTTTTGTTTTTTTTGCTTTCACATAAATTCTCTTCCACATTTTTTCTTAACTTTTTACAGAATGCAAGCTGCTTTGCGCAAGTTTGCTGTTGATGATTCCTCAGTGTCTCCGTACATTTACCACCGTCTCTTGGGACATGTTGAAGTTGACGAGCTCCTCTTCCGTCACATCTATCTTCCCAAGCAGCTCTCTGCTCCCAATCTGCCAACACTCAACAACTCGCAGGTTTGTTCGTATTCCTTGAATCCTTGGAAGGATTTCAGATTTTTCCATGCTCTATAGCTGTGAATCCCTGGGTCAAATATGTATGTAATGAATGAAGTGGTCTTTGAAATGGAGTAGTGTATATTTTGCCACACACCACAGATCGAGCAGTTTGTTTTGACGCTCAGCGCGTGACTTGGCGGGAAGGGGTTAAACAAGTAAACTCACAGTGGGCATGGCATTTGCATACATGCCATGCCCGTCAGCATTGGATTAAAATATTTATTGTAAAGAGAAGAAATTAGGCGCTCAATCTAAGAACAAAATGCTGGTGACATTCCAGTGTATTTGGTCTTTTGAAAATGTTTTTATAAACAAATTTTTGCTGGGGCATTGAGTGTAATGATTTTCAGAGACAGGACTCTTGTGTATTAAGAGATAGATAAAAATATTGTTTGCATATATATTTTATCATGATGCAGAAAAGAAGGGTTTCTTCAAAATTAAGGTATTAAATGTTTTCCCTTGATCTTTCCAGCAATATGCTCTGAAGCATGCCCTGCAGCGCCCTCTTTCCCTGATCCAAGGTCCGCCAGGCACAGGGAAGACCGTTACCTCCGCAACCATTGTGTACCAGCTGGTGAAGCAGACTGGAGGCTCCGTCCTGGTGTGCGCCCCGTCCAACACCGCTGTTGACCAGCTCACCGAGAAGATCCATAAGACTGGGCTCAAGGTAAGGGATTTGGTAGTTACTGTAGGATCATGGGCTTTGTTGGAGTGTAGAATTTGACTGATAAGGTAATTCTCATATAAGGTTGTGTTTGTATCTTATTTTTGTTTTGTATTCCTCATCTAAAAGAATGCCAGTTATGATGGAATTCTAATAATACCAGGTTTCAGAAAATGTGATATTCATGGATGTGGACCAATGTAAGTGTTTTTTCTCCTGACAGGTTGTACGTCTATGTGCCAAGTCCCGTGAGGCCATTGATTCTCCTGTTTCTTTCTTGGCTTTGCACAACCAGATTCGGAACCTTGAGGAGTGAGTTACTTGTAATGCCAATTGATGATATATATTTATTATATATATTTATAATGGTAATCTTTACATGCAGAATTGGGCAAAGTTTTCATAGGTTCTAATGGAGCTTTCATTCTAACAGTAATGGAGAGCTTCAGAAGCTTCAGCAGTTGAAGGAAGAAACAGGTGAACTATCATCAGCCGATGAAAAACGATTCCGCATGTTGAAGAAGCAGGCTGAGAAAGTGAGTGGTAGTTATTTTTATTCTTCTGCTTTACAATATAATATTTTGGGTTTGGGTTAAAGTAACATTTTGGCAGTATGGTCTTCTAATTTAGAAGACATAATGCTGAATAAAATGCATTAATTGATGACTATGTTCTCTTACATTCATAAAGAGCATCATCAGAATTCATTTGAGTACCAGTGTTTGTTAGCAAAGGAGACTGCAATATTGTGACATTCTCTTGAATTCTAGTTTTAACCCTAGTGGGTGTCACTCTTTCCGGTGACTTCTGGCAACCGTCTAGCCTTTTGGCCAGGGAGTCCGCTGTGTATAGTGGAACTTCCCGCTCGACTCGCTTTAGTGAGTTGTGACGCCTATAGCCGTACCTGTCGTGATGAGTTGGTTTTTCATGACGGCTATAAGCATGCCCTGTTATAAGAGGTTAAGTTTAAAAAAAAGGCCTATACAAATAGTGTATTTGTAAAATTGGTGCAGCCCTTAGTTTACAGTAATTGTTTTTTCCAGACACTGTTGGAAGCAGCTGATGTGATATGTTGCACTTGTGTGGGAGCTGGAGATCCTCGTCTGGCACGACTGAAGTTCCACTCCATTCTCATAGATGAATCCATGCAGGCCACTGAGCCAGAGTGTATGGTTCCGGTACGTTTTGTTTTTGTGTGTTGCATAATCCTTAACCCCTTACTGATGGGTGAACGCAGGAATTCGGTACATCAAGCCAAACCACCGGCTTGTAGCGCTTTGGCACAGCACTCCACGTATTGAGCGGTTTGTTATGACGCCTCAGCGCGTGACCCATCAAGAAGGGGTTAAAGCATGAGTAAGGTTTTAGTTGCTCTTTCTTAATTAATGAATAAATGATAAATAGGATAAGTATGATCAATGTGATATCTTTGATATATGTGATAAAATACATAAATGATATATGATATGTAATATATATCATATAGTGAAACACATAATATGATACTTAATGCATAATACTCTCACACACACACACACACACACACACACACACACACACACACACACACACACACACACACACACACACACACACACACACACACACACACTATATTTATTGTGAAATGTCTCTGCACATAGATGGCTCTGCTGGTGCTTAGCCACAAAGGAGTCAATTAGTAGACCTTGTGACCTTACATGATTTGAATTGGTGGGAAAAATGTATTTTTTACTAGTGCTATGAATATCGATAGTGTTATTTTTATCATAAACATTATGATTACTATAATGTTATTAACATTAGTAACAGCAAAATAAGATAACGTATAATATTTTTGTAAATCAAAGAAAAGGGTAAACGGGCGGGACAGGCAGTACTCGTAATTGGCTCATTGGTGCAAATGTAGCCATCTTATGTGTAAAAACCATCAAACAAGTAACTCACAGTGGGCATTGCGCATATATACACATCATGCCCATCAGCAATGGGTTAAGGGGCCCCAGTGTCAAGACATTGCAGAAACTGAAAAAAGTTGCATGTGGGTGTGAGCCTACTGTCACTCTGGGTCTGGAAACCTGAATTTTGAATAAAAGGATGAGCTTGCATATTTACTCCTGTTATATAAAAGTGTCGTGTATGTACAATAGCTGTTTGTTTTATGGTATCAAACAGGGTTTCCTCTGAATGATGAACCCAGAGGTAGAGGGATTAGACATTACCATCATTGATATTTGCATGCTGACCTAAATCTGTTATGCCTCAAGCATTTTTTTAATGTATAACTGAATATCTATCAAAAGGAAATGATCTATGAACACAGTTGTTCTATTTTAATAGGTGAAAGACTGTTTCATGGTTAACTACCTTTTAAAACTAGGAATGCAAATTTCTGCTCCCTTTAATTCTTGTGTATTTAGTCATTTCTCATGACTATGATTCTTATCATTTCTTTACTGATTTTACTTAATTCCCACAGGTTGTGTTAGGAGCCAAGCAAGTCATTTTGGTAGGTGATCACTGCCAGCTTGGGCCCGTCGTCATGTGTAAGAAGGCTTCCCGCGCCGGTCTCTCGCAGTCGCTGTTTGAGCGTTTGGTTGTCCTGGGCATCCGACCTTTCCGCCTCACCGTCCAATACCGCATGCACCCTCAGCTTGCTCAGTTCCCGTCTAACTTCTTTTATGAGGGATCTCTTCAGAATGGTGTTGTTGATGGTAAGAGAGAGAGAGAGAGAGAGAGAGAGAGAGAGAGAGAGAGAGAGAGAGAGAGAGAGAGAGAGGGAGAGAAAGAGAGAGAGAAAAAGAAAGATACTTGATTTTGGTCTATATTGGGACTTATTCTGAATCCGTTGGAATTTTACGGAAATTAATGTTATGGACAAAATGTATTTAAAAAAAAAAACCCATGTCTGAAATTTGAGAAAGAAAGATGTGAAAAATTAGATTGAAATTGTAATGCCATGTTCTCTCCACAGCTGACCGCACCATGAAAGGCGTGAGTTTCCCATGGCCCCAACAAGATAAACCCCAGTTCTTCTACGTGACCTCAGGCCAGGAGGAAATTGCAGGGTCAGGAACTTCCTACCTGAACCGAACCGAGGCATCCAGTGTTGAAAAACTTGTCACACGCTTCCTCAATTCCGGTGTCAAGCCAGAACAGATCGGTGTCATCACTCCCTATGAAGGCCAGAGAGCATACCTGGTCAGTTCTTTATTGTTTGTACTTCTGATTGTTAAAGAAAAGCTTGATATAAATTCCTCTATTCTGTGTTTGGAAGTGTTTGTTATAAGCAGCTCTTGTATTTATCACATTCTTATCTTATATTGATAATTATGATTCATAATCTGAATAAGGATGTTTTCATTAGTTACAGAAAGGAATAATTCTTTGACATTAAAGTCATTTTGGTAGGTGATCACTGCCAGCTTGGGCCCGTCGTCATGTGTAAGAAGGCTTCCCGCGCCGGTCTCTCGCAGTCGCTGTTTGAGCGTTTGGTTGTCCTGGGCATCCGACCTTTCCGCCTCACCGTCCAATACCGCATGCACCCTCAGCTTGCTCAGTTCCCGTCTAACTTCTTTTATGAGGGATCTCTTCAGAATGGTGTTGTTGATGGTAAGATAGAGAGAGAGAGAGAGAGAGAGAGAGAGAGAGAGAGAGAGAGAGAGAGAGAGAGAGAGAGAGAGAGAGAGAGATACTTGATTTTGGTCTATATTGGGACTTATTCTGAACCGTTGGAATTTTATGGAAATTAATGTTATGAACAAAATGTATTTAAAAAAAAACCCATGTCTGAAATTTGAGAAAGAAAGATGTGAAAAATTAGATTGAAATTGTAATGCCATGTTCTCTCCACAGCTGACCGCACCATGAAAGGCGTGAGTTTCCCATGGCCCCAACAAGATAAACCCCAGTTCTTCTACGTGACCTCAGGCCAGGAGGAAATTGCAGGGTCAGGAACTTCCTACCTGAACCGAACCGAGGCATCCAGTGTTGAAAAACTTGTCACACGCTTCCTCAATTCCGGTGTCAAGCCAGAACAGATCGGTGTCATCACTCCCTATGAAGGCCAGAGAGCATACCTGGTCAGTTCTTTATTGTTTGTACTTCTGATTGTTAAAGAAAAGCTTGATATAAATTCCTCTATTCTGTGTTTGGAAGCGTTTGTTTTAAGCAGCTCTTGTATTTATCACATTCTTATCTTATATTGATAATTATAATTCATAATCTGAATAAGGATGTTTTCATTAGTTACAGAAAGGAATAATTCTTTGACATTAATTAAAAAAAGAAAAATGTGCTTAGCATTCCAACCAATTTATCAGTATCTCGAGGACGTTCCTAAATTTTCAATTAGGATATTCGAGGCCAGTTCTCAAACTTGGGGGTAATTACCCATGTAGGAGTAATGAAACTGTTTCTAGGAGATGACAACGCACTTTCTAAAAGTAGTAGTTCTTTGCAGTAATGTGATGTGCCTCTATAGACCCATGCATTGATATGAATGGCAAATACTACCATGTTTCCCACTAATAGTACAACAATAATGCCAATTTCATATCTGTCAGTGATAACGTCTTAATGCCCTATTTCTTGAATAATATTAATTTCTTGCAAATGCAGTACATTAATTTAGCTAAAATTAAGCATTCCAATATTTTTCCTTCCTTTAAGTCTATGTAACTGAAGAGAAATGGGGAAGAGGAAATGATACCAAAAGTCTGAGAACCACTGTACTAGATGAATGTCTTGCTGTACATCTAATGGGTTGAGGAGCATTACATATTATTTTTCTTATAATGTTTCTTATTGTATGGATTCATGACCATTTATTCTTCTGTATCAGGTTCAGTACATGCAGTACCAGGGACCTCTTAACCAGAAGCTGTATCAGCGCCTGGAGGTCGCAAGTGTGGATGCCTTCCAGGGCCGAGAGAAGGACATCATCATTATGTCCTGTGTGCGATCCAATGAGCACCAAGGAATTGGGTTCTTGTCAGATCCGCGTCGTCTCAATGTGGCTCTGACTCGAGCGCGTTATGGCATCATCATTGTTGGAAACCCAAAAGTACTCTCTAAGGTAAATAAAATTTTTCATGTAAGGTGTCTCTTTTCTGTTTTACACAAGTATATTGGATGTTAAAGTTCTCTCAATTGCAACCTGCTCTGTTTTATAACCTGATTGGGTTTTGACGGTTAATTTTTCCCTTCAATTCCAGCAAGGACTATGGAACCACTTGTTGCATCACTTCAAGGAAAAGAAAGTTTTGGTGGAAGGGCCCCTCAACAACCTCAAGGAATCCATGATGCAGTTCAGCAAACCCAAGAGACTAATTAATGCAACCAACCCAGGCTCGCACTTCATGAACACGGCTATGTATGATGCGCGAGAGGCTATGGTTCCTGGCTCCATGTATGATAGGTCAGGTCAGCTCAATGGCTCTGCACCACCACCTTCCCAGTGCTTCAGAGGTAAGCTTGAAACACATTTTTTCTGTGTCTCTTTGTCTGATGAATAAATGAAATTCTTAACTCTTTATAATACAAGAGTATTTATCTCAAACTCTGATATTGCCCTACCACATTAGCAGGAGGTTCAAATCAAGTTCTTTCCAAGAACGTTCATTTTCACTGGTATACAATGAAGCCTATAATTAGAAGTAAAAACGATTTTCTTAGAGTACAAAATAACTAAACTTGTCTCTTACAGGACCACAGTATGATATGTATGGCCGAGCTCATGATTCTCTGGATTATATATCTGCTGACCACTCACAACCTGGGCTAAACAACTTGCCAGTGCCAGTGGGAATGTTCATGAACATGGCTCATGTACCACCTCGCTTCTACCAGCAACACCAGCAGGCTCTGGCACAAGCACGTGGAGGAAGAGGTGGTGCTCGAGGTGGCAGAACTGGAGGCAGAAAGCCCAACAAAAACATGGGTGGTTCCAATGCTCTACAGTTGTCTCAACCCTTCAGCCAAGACCCCACCACACAAAGTTACTCACAGCCTGGTCTCACGCAAGGGCACCTCTCACAGGTAACATTAACATTGCTGTTTTCATGGTCTGGACTTTATTAATTATATATATATATATATATATATATATATATATATATATATATATATATATATATATATATATATATATTTTTTTTTTTTTATATTTTTTTTTTTTTTTTTTTTTTCCTGTGAATATTTTATGAAGAGAACTGCATTTTGACTTCCTTTATAAGCAAATGGAATAGAAAATATAAATAGTTATTATTATAGCACAAGCTAGATAACATTTTCTTCTTCCCATATGTACAGGGCATGTCTGGGCCTGGGTTGAGTGGGCTCTCACAAGGAGGACTGTCACAGGCAGAACTTTCCCAGGACTCGTACATGGTAGACCAGTTCCAGAGCCAGACAGATGGACTCCTGTCTCAGGACTCCACCTACCAGGGTGACCGTGCGTTCTTCACTCCAGCATCACAAACGCACCACTTCTCACAGGTATCCTCAAAATGATTGTATTGTCTTTATTTAATATACAAGTTATGAATACATATTTTGTCAGAATGGCAGATGTACTGCCAGCTAAAATTACTATTCATAACATTCTTATTTAGTTATAAGGTATAAATTCTGTATGAAAATACATTCTTCCTTAATTTAGTATTTACCCCAAAAAAAGGAATGTATCATTTTTGTTTCAGTATGTTACTTTTATATTCAGAAAAATGTAGATATGCTTGAAATTAGACTTTTCAGAAAAGACTTGAAATTTACACACTTATCTTTTCAGCCGTACTGATGGTGAGTTGAGAGATCCCCTGGCGCATGAAAGGCGATGAAGCAGCGCACCAGAGCAGCAAGACATACGTGGAGCAACACAGGGGGACCCACAGCAGGCACAGCAGCAGTAGCAGCAGCGGCACAAGGAACAGCAGCCTAAGCAGTCCCCTCGTGTGGTCGAGTCACGTGCAGACCTCCCTGCCGTGGAAGCTGATGCAGGAGGCAACAGCAAACAGGACTGCTATGGCACTCATGAACATAGCCAAGGCAGGTGCTTACTCTCAAAGGTGAGACAAGACAGAAGGTGCCTTATATCCCAACATAGTTAATTCTCGGGTATGGATGATCCTTTGGCCACACCATGGATCTGGCCTGTCTATCAGCATAGATCACGGCCCATAAAGAATGGATATCAGCCCAGCCCTTGATCCTCTGACCCGAGATATGCTCATGTCAACAAGAAGGAAGTGTAGGCACCTGAGAAAGAGAGAGAGAGCGCAAGAGAGAGAGGTAAGAGAGAACAAGAGCACAATGATGAGCAGCTTCCAGCCAGCCCCAGCCCCTCCCCCCTCCCTGCGGGTGCAGGAGAAGTGACCTCAGTGCTACCACACAGGACTGCCACGCTGTCATGACCTGCCTGTGTCCTGAACAGTGGCGATGCCCACACACTCCTACATGTCCTCTTCATTCCACTGGCAAAACACCAAGTGGAGGAGGAACAGGAGACTCCCATGATATTACACAACGTTTGTCAGCACTGTTTCTTTGTTCTGTTTAAAGTTTTCTTGTTTTTATATCATTCATGGATTCAGTATGTGATGGGTATTTGGTTTTAGTAATATGGTTTGCAAAAAATACACAAAAAAATTAGCAGCCATGATTACATGTATGTGTACTTAATATACTTTTTCATTTCTATAACTGGACTGTAATGACAGAGCACACATTGTGTTCACAGGTGGCAGTAAAGTGATGAGGACAACTTGCTCTTTTGTTAATTTTTGGTTGGTGTCTGCATATTACAGCAATCCTTTGTTCAATATAATAAGCATATGGTAATTTTCTGTACTTTTACACAAAAACTTATAGAATTAGTACAAGTACAAATTTCTGAAAAAAAATAAAAATAAAAAAATGCATACATGTACTGCCAAAATTGTATTTGTTAATACAGTTATCATGCCATCTTTCAATGTCAAGAGTACAAGCTTACAAGCCATGCACGAGTAATTATAAACACCCTCTATAGAAAGATGTATGGCAATTTTAATTTGTTGTTATGGCATAGAAATCAAGGTTCTCTTATTATTTGTTGGTATATTGCTACAAATAACATCACAAAAGATTTATGGAAATTTTCTCTTCCCATATTTCCAGTTCTGAACACTCAATTTTATTTATTTTTAAAATTTTAGTATCAAAGACCTATAGGTCTTCAAAGATCTATGTGATTGAAAATAATGTTATTATTCATGATGATTATGATTAATTGTTATTATTGTTATTATTTATAATCATTTATTTATTTATATTTTTCTGTTATATAAGGAATGAAAGTTATCTACTCACAGATAACAGTGCATTCTGAGGAAAACTGCTTATCCTAGTAAGGGTTCCATTAAGTCTTTAGACTTTGTTTCCCTCTTCATGTACTGTTTTTGTAAATAGGTTAATTGGCCTGTTTAGTGTGTCCATCTCATTTCACAGAATTGGGAAGCAGTTTAATTTATAGTTTCATATGAACAGTATTGACTATTCACCATCTAAAAGAAACCATGCTTGGTGACCAACATTGAAACAGAACTGTCCTGTATTCACTGGTGATGAAATTCTGCTACAACTGTTATTGAATTGTTTAAATAGGCTTTCTTAAATGTATGCCCTATGAGAAAAAAAAGTAAAAAAAAAAAAGGTTGACACAGGGTTATATATTAGTAGGCTTGCATAATTCTGTAGAATATTGGGAAGGTCATCATATATATTTTTATTTTTTATTTTATTTTTTTTCTGTCAATTTGAGTGGCTCTAAGGTATATTGGTTATACCCCCACCCCATTTGAAGCTTTTATTTTATGAAATGATTGGGCCTTATGAAATGAACAACTTCCAAGGCAACATTGGTAATAACACCTAATAAATGAGTAAACAAGATTGATGTTTTTTCAAGTTCCTTCCATTGTTTGGAAGTTAATCTGATACAATTTTCTCTATGTTAACCATTAATTTGGAGAAATGTACTAAATTACTTAAAGGAGACTTTTATTTATCAAAAGTGGATATTTGGTAACGGCATTCAATCTAATAACTCCAGGCTGGCTAAAATGCTGATCTGTCGGACTCTGAGCTCTGTATAATCAGGGAACCAGCACATTTGTCTTCATGACATATACACTGGCAATGTCTTAGGATGTGGCTTATAAACATGATACTTGTCATCCAAAATTCCCACATGCTTTTGCAGGAATTTAATCTAAGATAGGACTATAAACTGATTGTGTATAAATAATGGGGATATGCCATATGATATGCTTAATCCTATGCCTTCCAGAGGCATAGGATTAAGAGCAGTTAGGGAAGTGAAGGTCAAGAAAAGCAAGAAAGATTTAAATTGTAAAGGCCAAAATAAAAAATGAAATAAACCCCACAAGATTAACTCACTTAAGAGATATTGCAGCTCTACATCTCACTTTTACTATGCTTATTACATTTTTCAAGAAAGCCAGGTATATTTACTATGTCAGACTGCTTGAAGACATTAATTTGGGTACATTTTTTTACAAGCTCTAGGAGGAAAAATGGTACTTTCCTTAGTCTAAAATTGGAAGATAAGAATGAGTACAGACAGATGTTGATGTTAATTACTACGTTTTTCAAGATATTTGCTTTTTTTTCATATTGAAAGGCTTTCACAGTCACTGACTGCAAGAACAAATTTTAGTTGCATACTCTTGGTAATGGTAAATTGATATTTTGATGATATAGTATCCAGTATCAGTTTAAAGTAATGTGCTTGTAAACACTTTGTAGTTATTTTTTCTTTTTCTTTTTCTTTTTTATTAACTTCTCTTAAACCTTGATGTCTAGTACATCGAGGTCTTGACTATTAACCAATAACTATCTACTTCTCGTATATAAGAAAGGCCAGTACAAGTAATTTCCAGGTAAAGAATTAAGCTCAATAAATCATTTTCCATCTAAGATTGATTTTAAAGGAAAACAAAGAAAAAAATATAAATAACTGATACCAGATTTACTGGTTACAGTACAGTATATAATTACTATACCCATAGTTTTTAGTCCTTTCACCAACTGACCTCATCTCTGCATATTGAGGAAGGTTATATTAAGGAAGGCTGTATGAAAAAAGTCAAGGTAAATACCAGAAATCTTTTTGGGGAATAAAAACATAAAAGTACATAATGAGAGCAAAAATGAGGATTTTTTTTTTTTTTTTTTTTAATCTAAATTTACCACTGTGAACTTGAGGGTATGCATTTTTCTATGGCATTTCTGAAAGTGATATTATCAAGTATTAAAACAGTTATTAAAATTTGCCTTTATTCACTTGCTATGATTATTTTATACAACTCCATAAATCATACATATATGTGTTCAGGTAAAGAAAGACAAGAGTCAAGTTAGATTAGTATCATTATTCTGTAATAGGAAAAGTGGGGCAGTATGGCCTATAGAAGTATAACCTAACTTTTCTCTCTCTTCTTACATGCTGACAATCTGTTTCCAGCATTTAAAAAAAAGTCTGCACATTGTACAGTGCCTACCTGATATTTTTGAAAAGTAACTAGCAAAACTCTTATATAACAAAGAAACAGGTGTCAGGCTCATATGACAAAATCCTCATACACTCTTACAATAGACAAGAGGAAATCTAAAATTTATTTTTACACCACAATACTGTATGTTTTGATGTAAATATTTGCTCGCAACTGGTCCAGGTTCCCAGTACTCAGTGCATTATTTCAACAACACATTTATACTGAAAATATATACAGTGGGGAAGTACTCATGATGTTTTGGCTCAAATCACTAAAAATTATATGCAAAAACAAATCAAGTTAGCTATTCAACCATTCTCTAATAACAATTCCTATTCAAGATGCACCTACTTGCATATTTAACAATGTCCTCTACCTGACTACAAGGTGGAAAAAATGTACATCCATCCATCCATTTGCTACTGTATAAAAAAAGATGTTCATTTTTTATGAACAGATAAACATTTATTCTTTACTTCCCTTGTGTTATCTAAAACAAGATAAAATGAACTAAGATCAATCATTAATACAGTGCTAACATTTTTAAACAGTTTTGTAAAAATAATTGATTCTCTGTAATGTATTGCATAACAAGTGTTGGTCCGTTAACACACAACAGCAATAGGGTACAGGTTAAAGTATGTTCTAATTTCATAAATGCAAAGAAATAACAATACGGAGAAAAAAAAATTGACCTTCCATTCATTTTTCAGAACCCAGACTAAGGAATAGTGATTGTACTAACTTGTGGCATCTTACTTTGTGAAAAATGAAAATAACATGTACCATTGCGAATTTAGCTGCTTCTGTTCTTTATATGTTAGAAATATTGCTACACCAGAACCTCATATGAGCGCATATTTGCATTTTATTTTTATTTTTTTTCTAGGCTGTAATAAAATGAACTGACTGGGTTTTTTCAGTACATGATGATGCTTTTGAATGATAGAACACATGCCAAGAAATTTATATTAGACTTTATCCGTGACCCTGAGATTTCAAAATAAAACCTGGAAACATTTATGAATATACCCCACTCCCAACCTTAATTAACTAAGCTACTTACACTATTGTCAGCTAATTTTTTGTGTGTGTGTGTGTGTGTGTGTGTGTGTGTGTGTGTGTGTGTGTGTGTGTGTGTGTGTGTGTGTGTGTGGTGTGTGTGTGTGTGTGTGTGTGTGTGGTGTGTGTGGTGTGTGTGGTGTGTGTGTGTGTTGTGTGTGTGTGTGTCTGTGTGTGTGTGTCTGTGTGTGTGTGTTGTGTGTGTGTGTGTTGTGTGTGTGTGTGTGTGGTGTGTGTGTGTGTTGTGTGTGTGTGTGTGTGTGTGTGTGTGTGTGTGTGTGTGTGTGTGTGTGTGTGTGTGTGTATTAACTAATTCACACAGGCTTGTACACATACATGCAGGCCAAAGTGAGCTGTAAGCTGTCTGTGTATGCACAAAATATATAAAACACATGTACACATGAGCATACACACACACACGCACGCACATGTACACGCACACTCACACACATATATATTTACTGTGTACCTATGTGCCATGCACGAAGCAAATATATGTGTTTACACAGATACACTTTCATGCATGAGTGTATGTACACACACACACACATACACATTTTATTTACTTATATATGAACTCATGAAATTAACACTAGTATGGTAGTACCAGTTATAATAAAATTTTAAGGTAAAACCTCTTCATGTGTCTGTTACTTTCTTTACTAGAAAAACAAAAACAAAACAAGTTGAATACCTGAACATATAAACAATATTGCAATAATGAGATTATAGGGCAACAATTGTGTTAGCTGAAATTGTGAGTAAAAAGCAATAGCACAAAAGGAAACTTGTAGTGTGAAAATACTTGCATCATCTCTTGACTTCAACCGCCAAGTAAATGGACTTTATATTGACAATATTGACAATAGGACTGAAGGAAGGATATCCAATGAACAGCCAGCCTCCAAAGGAACAAAAATTATCCTAGATTTAACCCTTTGACTGCCTTGTTTCTCATTAGGTGAATAAAAATATATTATTTAATGAATATAAATGATATTCTCCCAGAATACTTGAATTAAATGTCTCTCCAAAAGCCTTATTCTCCTATTCTCTCTCATTAAGAAAATATGACCTAGAAAGCTACTGCTATATAAAAATAAAAAATGCATTCATGGGTCAACCTTTCTAGTTTCAATATATATCTTTATGTTTCGAAGACAGACATTCCTATAAAAGATCCCTCCTAAAAAGAGTTTAAATGCTAGATATGTCACTCACAGGGTGGATTCATGACACGCAATGAAAAAGAGTGAGTAAAATGCAAACCTGGTACCTTGTGAATAAAATGTGTATAGAATAATCCACCTATTATCCATTGATGCAGCCAAAGGGTTAAAATACCTTAATACCACAGTAATCCATTACACTGAAATCACTTGGACATCCATGTATACCCAAGGTGGCTGTGTGAATGGGTGATAAGAACTGATTAAAAGATTCAGAGTGAGATTCCAAGTTTCCTTCTATGCCCAACATACAAACAGCAAGAAAAAATATAGTTTTCCATCTTATTGTTCTTCTATTAGAAAAGTATATCACTGACTTGAAGCTCTCAATATCTGTGGACATTAGTGAAGTTTCAGATGAATAGAAACAAATTCCAAAAGTGAAGCAGAGGCTTTTCAGAACAAAAGCCTTTCATAATCAACAGTTTCAAGAAGAGTATATAAACATTAAAACTAATTAAAGCTGTAATAGCACTGGTTCTTTGCGGGCCAGAGCTCCCATGGGGTCCCATGCTGGCAGCACAATGGGCTCTTGACTGAATACTGACAAAACATCTTCTGGGACGAACTTCTTGTCCACCACAATTTCAAAGACGAACTCTCGGAACCATTCAGAGGTCATGATGAGGTATCCCTTTTCACCTCTGTCCTCGCCCCAGCTGTTTTCAACACGCCACTTCTCTGCAGTCTGTGACTCCTGGAGTGCCAGTTCAGAAACATTTAGTACACAAACAATGAAGAAAAACATTGAGAAAGAAGAGAAGTACAGAGAGGGAAGGAATAAAGAGAGGAGACAAAGAGAGAAAACAACAATGTAATCAGAGACAATTACTGAAAGAGAAGAAATATAAAAAGTGAACAATTATTTTCATTTATGGTATTATTTGAGCACCTAATAATTTGGGAAAAGAAAACAAATTTAGAACTACTTACATTAAGGGTCACTGCAGTGAAGGTCATGGCATGAGTCATGAGCGATTCACCATAGACCAGACGATCAGCCTTGCAGAGACCTAAGTTGACTTCTACTCCAAAGGCAGATTTGTAGTCATGGCTGAATTAAAAGAGAGGGAGAAAGAGAGAA